ACTGAACTTCCAAACAGATCCAAACAAACACATAGACGACCGTTAGGTATTCTTTGGATAAACAAAGCAAAGAAAAGGAGGCACGGAGTCTAGAATAAATCCAGATATAGTTACGTACAAGGTAATAAAATAAAAACTGAAAAAATTTGACAAATTTACAAGGGGGAAAAGGCGGAATGGGCTGGAATGGGCCATTCCCGGCCATTCCATACCATTCCAAACATTTCTGATCATTTTGGAATGATACGGAATAGTATGGAATGGCCCATTTCAACCCATTCCGTACCATTCTATGCCAGTCCAGAACGCTTTTTCCCCCTTGCAAATTTAACTTATTTCGAAATTTAACCTTGTAGTTATTACTAAATTAATAACGTATGACTAGAGTTTGAATTGGAATTTTCCAATTGTGACAAATAACTATCTGGGTTTTTTTTGTTCTACGTTCTTTCACAACACTTGTACGTCAAAGACGTTGATATTTAACCGTATCGTTTTGTTGGAATTGGACATTTTGTTTTCTTTCTCTATCAGACAGAATCGAAAAATTTTCTCACCTTTAAATTAAACTTTTAAATAGAGTATCTTAATCTATTAAAAAGTGCTTCACATTTGAAAAATTAGATCTATTCAATGGGTATACCATATTTCAATAAGTTTATTAATGAACATACTTCACCACCACTTTTCACGCCAATTACGCTGACAAAAAATGACTATGTGATTATAGATGGTAATTATCTATGTCATCATATTTTCATGAACTGTAACCAATGTTCTCTATTCGCCTACGACAAATATTATGAACAAATATTGAAAATATTGAAAATATTTAAAGATAAATGTCAAAGTATTTATTTTATATTTGATGGAGTATACAATAAAAAGTATGATACAAATTACGTTTATTCCTTTGATGATAGTGTTCAACAACAGCGACAAATACCACTATTATTTCACTTGACTATGATCAATATATTAGAAAAACTAAAAATACCATATAAATCAGCTGTAGAAGAAGCAGATCCACTTTGTGCACACATGGCCAACGAACTTAAAGCCTATGTTATTGGATTCGATAGTGATTATTACTTTTACAACATCAACAAAGGATATATACCGTTAAAATATTTCGATTTGAACACATTATCCGGTAAACTTTATTGTCATACGACATTACTAAATGTTTATCAAGGTTTAACTATAAAATGTTTGGCGTTATTTCCAATTATTATGAATTCAGTGGGTTATAAGACGAATGATCAAAAAGTGTTGAAATCATATTTAACAACAAATTGCCAAAGTGAAAATAGAAAAGAAAATAAAGAGGAAAAAGACGAAAGTAGAACATGTGACAATGCAAATCGAATACAAATCTTAACGAATATTACGTATTTACTGCAATGGTTGACAAATGTTCAAAATCAAAAGAACCTTGATGTAAAAACAATTATCAGTAAATTGATTAACGATAAACATTCTCTATTATTCCAATTATTTGATACCAAAAAGAAACAAGAACAACTTATTAAATCAGCTAATATGTTTAGTAATCCGTCAGATGTTAATAATTTAAAGGAAGAGTATACAAATCTTATCCCAGATTATTTAATGGAATCATTTTTTAATGGCTATTTAGATTCATCAATTAGTACACTATGTATATTTGGTCGTTATACATCTCATTATAATCAAAATTTACAACATCAAAACATACTTTTACCAATATGTTCAAAATTATTTGGTAAATCGAGTCAAGAATCTTCCAATCATCATGTTCAATTTATATATAAACATACCAATTCTGTTAATACAATAGAGGTGCCTCCAATATATAAAATAGGATATGAAGAACATAATATGAGAGACGTTTATCGATGTCTAACTTATATCTTTGAAAATAGTCAAACCACTGAAGATGAATTATTCAATGACAATCGTATACATCAAGCTCATCATCTATGGTTATTAATTATGCGTTACTGGTACTGTACAGAAACAGAAACAAAGATAAATAAGCAAAATTATTTATGTAGTTTTATTCTATCGTACTTAACATTAAATTTCCTTGATAGATATGATGGTAAGTGTATACGATGTCTCCTCTTTGATATAACTGTTAAGTTTTCATAGTTTTACAGATAAGTCTGTTATCAAAGATGTCTTGCCAACAAAACCATTCCTTCAATATTCACTTGAATCGTTTGACAAATTATCAAAATCCCGTTGGCAAAAAATTCATTCTAAAATTTTAAGAATTTATTGGATCAAAGATGATGAATGGATAAAACAAATTTATTACGTTGAGCAAATATATAAAAATATTTTATTGGTATGTCAAATAATTTTTCCCGATATATGGAGAAAAAAAATTATGTTGGTACCAGAAAAGTTTTTATCAGATATTGTTTTTGTATTTTTCGGCGATAGCGGAAAGAGTCTTAGACAAATACAAAAGAAAATGGCTCGTATATTAGACAATAACGATTATCTAATAGAGTTGTCAACAGAAATCTATGAAATTATAACGAAATAAATTTTATACATGCTCATTTTTATGTATGTGTTGTTTATTAGATTAAATAATCATAATATTGTATGTTTTCTAATTTTATATAAATATACGATAAATAAGATAATCATTACAGCAAAATATTTTATTCTATTGCGCTTTCGCTCATCCACAAGCAATTATATTGCTATGATAAACTAAAATGCTGAGCATTCATTTTCTTACCATATTTATTATATTGAAAACTGAGATCAATAGTTAAGATCAAATCTAAACATTTTGAAAAAAAATTTCCATCATTTTCAAAATGGTGGGATACTTCATTTTTGGGTCAAACAGGTATATGTTGCCAAATTTTTATTTTTTCGATATTTTTAGTCCTCCAAACTAATTTGTTTTTATTTCGCGTGTGAAACTGACTATAGAAAACTGTATTTGGAATTGTTCAAATATA